TCAAAGCAATTCATATAAATAGCACCAACTTCCGGCAATACCGAGGTCTACAAGTCGGTCGAGGTATCCTACTCAGAATGGTTTACCAGTATCTTGCTTTCAAGACGGGATTTTTGTTGGCGTAGGCCTTCAACGCAATAACTACAGATAAATTTAGAACGTTGTATCGGGTCTATCTGGAGAGCAGATAAAGATATGCGTCCCAACATATGTAGTAGTAGTAGTATAAAGGTTCCGTGGCGGATCTGCTTTTTGTCAGATACAAGTACAGTAACAGCTATCACAGGTTCCAAAATGGACGACAGGGATGTGTACTAAGGGGTCCCCTCTTTATGAATAAATCTTCATCCAAGTGAACGATACATTATATTAGGCAGGATGCTGGTTCTATGGAGACGCTCGCATTCCTTGAAGAAACTTTCCATTACTTTTTACTTCAATAGCAAGAGATGAGATGACAAATCTATCTAGGAGCTACACGCACATTAACCTTAACCTGAATCTCCTTAGAATATCTATGACAGGAAATGATTACTTGGATCCATGCGTTGATTAGAGGCGACCTCAGGAAGTGGGATTAAACAGCGACGATCATGTGAGCTAATGTCACCACCTCCGTAAAACACCAGATTTGGTCTGTAGTTCCGCATCATATCTTTTATTTTATCTTTTTTTGACATCCCAGAATCAGCGAGTCGGAGCGAATGATCAGCGCCATGTGGTGCGGGATGCATTGAATGTGCCGTGAATGCAACAAGAAACTATTGGTGCTAACAAATGCCGCACTCTCTGGGCCGAACTCAAGAGGTTGGACCAGAAAAATCCCTCTCAAGGTGCTTAAAGCTTTTATCTATAGCTATCTGTGCATTATCTAAAATATTCTTGGGATATCATCCAATCCTTATTTTCATCGAGATAAGGACATAGCCAGATGGCGTTCGATGGCTCGTATACGATGGCTGCGATGTGTGTACAAGCGTGGGAAGAGCACGCGGGATAAGGATTTGTTCAGAAGCTGACGCTTATCTACGATTCTTGCCGCCTGAACCATGAATATAAGTACTACAATGTTCAGTGGCTTCTGTAAAGGTGAATCGCACATAGTTCTGCGTCATCCCATGCCTCTTTAACTGACGTGACCCGACCTTTAAGCTAGCTAGCTGCCAGTACTCTTACGAGTCTGTCTTTGCCTCGCATCAGAATGGACCCTGACCCAGAGGGCTTGAAGGAGCTGCCATCGCTGGCGACGGTGAAAGAAAAATCTCAACAGACTCAAGACTCTATCTACAATATTCGCCCATGGAATAACAATCATCTTGATCGAGCCATTAGTACTGTGAGTACTATTGGCGAGGATGATGACCCAGGCTTGCGCCGACCAACAGACTTCAAGCAAAGACAGGTACTGTCTGACAGGATTCCGGTGTTCAGAAGCACGCAGGCTAAAAGCAGCAGGATTTCTCCGGCAAAATGCTTCTTTGGCTCGCATACCAGTCAATCGGTGTCATATACGGAGATATTGGAACCAGCCCGCTCTACGTCTTTTCGTCTACGTTCACCGAGGCACCGTCTCGCCAAGACCTTATTGGAGTGCTCTCCATTATAATCTGGAGTATTACGATTATGGTGACCATAAAATACATCTTCATTATCCTTCACGCGGATAACGATGGAGAGGGAGGTACATTCAGCACATATTCTCTGCTCAGTCGCTATGTAAGACACACCTCTCTCTGTGCCGGATAAAATTGACCAGCTCAGATGAATATCACTCATCGAGATCCTCGAGAGGCATCCCTTGTGCAGATGAAGAGACACCTGTCAATTGATCTCGAGAGCTCCAGCAGATTTGCTAGACACAGCCTGGAAACAAGCAAGTTCGCGAAGCGCCTACTGAAAGTCGTGGGAGTACTGGCCGTTACGATGGTTCTCGCGGATGGCCTGCTCACTCCCGCTCAATCCGTGCTGGGTGCCGTCCAGGGAATTGAAGTTGTTTCTCCAAACATTTCCAAAGGCACTGTCATCGGGGTTACGGATGCTATCTTGGTCATCTTGTTCTTGCTACAGCCACTTGGTATCACGCGGGTTACGTTCGCCTTTGCCCCAATAGTTATCATTTGGCTTGGATTCAACGCTGCGTTTGGAATCTATAACCTTGCTAAATATGATGCCGGGGTCTTTGTCGCCTTCAACCCCGGTTATGCATTCACCTTTCTGATCCGACACGGAGAATCAGGATGGAGAATGCTCAGTGGTACTTTGCTTGCCTTTACCGGAGTCGAAGCCCTTTTTGCCGACCTTGGTGCTTTTAGTCGTCGGGCGATCCAGATCAGTTGGTTATGCTATACATTTCCCTGCCTACTTCTAGCATATATCGGGCAGGCTGCATACATCAGTGTGCATCCAGAAGCATACTCAAATCCGTTCTACAAGGCAGCTCCCCCAGGCACCATCTATCCTGCGCTTGTAATTGCCATTCTAGCAGCTATAGTTGCATCGCAAGCAATTATCACTGCTACCTTTCAGGTATGAATATCGCTTTCAAGGTATGACCAGTCTAACTCCGTTTAGCTCCTAGCGCAAGTGATGAAGCTCTCATACCTCCCACAATTCAAAGTGGTTCATACATCCGATATATTCCATGGACAGCTTTACATACCGCTTGCGAACTGGCTATTGATGATCGGGACGATACTTGTGGCGTCTATCTATAACAACGTATGTCAATCGATTGTATGCTCATTGGGGTGGGCTAATGAAGAGCAGACTACATCTCTTGGAAACGCATACGGAGTGTGTGTCATCTTCGTCACCTTCTTCGACACATGCATGGTTGCAATGGTAGCAATGTTTGTGTGGCGCAAGAGTCCTTACCTTGTCTTCCTGCCCTGGCTTACAATTGCTTGCTTCGACGGGGCATACCTATCTTCGGCACTAACAAAAGTCCCCACTGGCGCATGGTTCACTCTCGCCGTAGCCACCATTCTCGCCCTGCTCTTTCTCCTCTGGCGATTTGGAAAGGAGCAGCAATGGTTTGCTGAAGCGGAAGATCGCTTTCCCACATCGCACTTTGTGACAAAAAATCAAGATGGTAGCATTCGCCTTACAGATCGGTTTGACGGTGCACCTCTGAGCACCACTCAGGGTGTGGGCATATTCTTTGACAAAGCTGGAGAGACCACGCCCATCGTCTTTAGCCAGTTCATCCTGAAGCTCACGACAATGTTTGAGACGATTATCTTCTTTCATCTACGACCTCTCGAAACTCCATCCGTCCCTATCGATGATCGCTACACTGTTTCGAAACTTGCAATTCCAAATTGTTACCGTCTGGTTGTCCGCTACGGCTACAATGACGAGATCATTTCCCCGGACCTCGCTAGCACCATCACTGATCAGGTACGCAAGTACTTGATCGAGCATAGACATACCACTGCTCCGACGGAAGCCAGCACGAGCATAAGTCAGCTGAGCCGGGATATAGGTCAAGATTCGACGAGTGCTGAAGAGTCCCGGACGATCACTAGCCGAGGGAAGCCGGTCGATCCGGTGGCACTGCTGGAGAAAGCTTGTGCACATAACGTGCTGTACATCACTGGCAAGGAGCAGATGAGAGTCAAAAGGGATACGAATATTTTTAGGCGATTTGTGCTGGAGATCTTCCTATGGATTCGGGACAATACCCGAGCGAAGATTGCTTCGTTGGGGCTGGGAGCCGAGAAGGTGATTGAGGTGGGGTTTTTGAAGGATATATGACCACATAGTCTGTAGTGAGATAACACCATATCGTATGATTTTATCGATATCTCATCTATACTATTATGATCCACCCAGATATTTCTTTAGATCTTCATCCACGTCATTCATGAGCTGTTGATAGTATACAGCACGTGACTGCCCCTCGCGGGATAACGTCATCGGGTGCGTCATTGCCGCAGGGAATCACAGGATGGAACAATGCAATTCAATACGAACCCGGAAATGCCAGTTGCATTAGTTTATCCATAGTTAATGGAAAAAGTAAGACTTTGAGGGGTAGTTGTGTAACATCACCAGTGTACACACAATATGTAGAGCTCTTTATACCGGGCACCTAAATTCTGTGCCCCTCAATATCACAGGTTTATGTCTACTTGTTGGCTGGATATGACAGTTCTTCATAAAAATAACATCATAATTCATACATTCAATATAACAAATGAGACCATAGAAGTAATCTAAGCTCTCGCAAAGTAGTCATACGGCCGGACCAGTTCCGTTCTGATAACCTTTGTCTACTGGATCGAGACTTCGCTGTCTTTCTCGACGTGGATGTGGTCGGAGGACTGGAGGGTGGAGACTTGTTCATCGTCGTATTGGACACTATATGATCAAGAATTAGTTGTGACATGCAAAAGATAGTAAGCTTGACAGTGGTGGGGGAAGATGTTCGTACACGAATCCCTTGACCAGAGCAAATTCCTTCACGATCTTGCCTCCGTTATCAGTGGCAGTCTTCTTGGCCCTACGCACAAGTGTTAGAGCCAGGCTTTTTTATGAGTAAACTGTGGTATATCTCACTTCTCAAGCTCCTCAGGGGGAGACTCCTTCTTGAGGCTGACCTGTAAATAATGAAATTCGTTAGCATTCAGCCAGGGACGGGGGTGGGACAGGATAACAAACGAACCATGTACTGGTGAGGCATGTTGGCGGTATAATTTTTTGTTTTGGAGAAGAGAGAAGTAGTTCTTGAGTGAGAAAGTAATCCGAAAACCCTTGACCTGAAAATGTTGATGAAAGATGTAAGATGAGTTGCCCGATGTGGGACAGGGGAGGGTTTATTTATACTCGGCGGCTAGTAGTAAGAAGTAGTAAGAGTGAGTTAGGCACCTGCGGGGGTCGATCTCACGCCCTGATAAGGGGACCGAGGGGTCGGACTAGGGACCAACTAGTAGTGCACACCACTTTGGGTGCAGTGCAGGATCGATGATGTCTATGCAGACAGGGGTTAACAGAGTACAGTTAATGTGGCTGGAGAGTGCATGCAGATAGCTTCGTCGCATCACAAATGGCTACATTTCATATTCTTGGCAAATATTGATGGATGGGTGAGTCAACTGGCGAGTTCTGCGGCAGCACGTGAGACGGATCCCCCACGGAGTCCGGCTTGTGAGGTCATCGACTGCTGTGTCTTGCAAGTCGCTATGGCCAACTTTGACGATGGCGGTAAGACGAGCCCTGCAGACTGCGTCTCGGGGTGCTAGCCTTCGATATCATTGTTTCTCAACCTTTCCAGCAAGGTCCTTTTCTTCGTCACCTCCCGTACAGACGACTACATCCCCACGGCACGCGTTTGCTTACGGCGCCAATGATGAAGTTGCCCGTCTCGCCGCCAGTCGTCGCCGACCATTGACTCTAGCAGATCTGCTCAAGTATGCAGCATGCGCTCTACACTCCTCGATACAGGGATAATTGCTAATTTGAATAGACATGGGCGTCCGCCCCTGTGCAAAGATGCCCTCCTGGCCTCGGCCAACTTCACGCTCTCCCTTCTTCCGGCCCGCCTAGCGTCTCGTATCGAGGCTCTCCGCAACCTCCCTTTCATCGTTGTATCGAATCCGCATGTCTCCAAGATCTATAACAACTACCTACACTCGCTCTCTACTCTCCTGCCATATCAGCAACGCCAGGTCACGACGCTAGAGGAGGAGAACCAATTCGCTGAAGTACTTGCCGATCTCGTGCATACGCATACGAACACCATTCCCATTCTTGCCCGCGGCTTTCTCGAATGTCGCCGATACATCGATCCCACTGAGGTAACTCGGTTCCTGGACACGCACCTGCGCGCCAGAATCGGCACGCGGCTCATAGCAGAACAACACTTGGCGCTGCACTTTGCCTCGCAGCCGGTCCGCGACGATCCATCTGAACAACAAGAGAGACCGAAGGATGCTGCACCATCAAATTACATCGGAGTCATTGATACCGCACTGCAACCCGCCCGCATAGTCAAGTCATGCGAGGACTTTGTGGGCGAGATCTGCGAGCTGAAGTATGGGGTCCGTCCGCGGTTGAACATCGGTGGACAGCCGGACGCTTCTTTCGCACATGTGCCGGTCCACGTGGAGTATATTCTTACCGAGTTGCTGAAAAATGCTTTCCGGGCGGTTATTGAGTCCGGGAATGGGAATGAGCCCATTGAGGTGACCATTGCGGCGGCACCTGATGTTCCTGCCAGTCCGGTACATGACCCGAAGGCGAAGGAGAAGTGGAGTCATTCCGATTCGGATACTGGATTTCACATGGACACCGTGGTGGGAACGGCGGATGCGAACGAGTCAATCAAGTGTTGGTCGCCGTCGCAGCAGAGCATCACGATCCGCATCCGAGACCGGGGTGGAGGTATCCCTCCGGAGGTGCTGCCGAACATCTGGTCCTACAGCTTCACTACCTTCTCTGACTATGGTATGAACGGGTCGGAGAATGGCAGTATGGACGCGCTAAACACGATATCCGGCAGCGGGGGTCATTTGAGCAGCATTGCCGGACTGGGGTATGGACTGCCGCTGAGCCGGGCATATGCAGAGTATTTTGGAGGGAGCATCGCGGTGCAGAGCTTATGGGGATGGGGAACGGATGTATACTTGACGCTCCAGGGAGTAGCCATGCCATCTTGTGTACCGCAACATTGATATAACACTAATCTAACGAGGGCCGGAACCAATCTAATACCACTTACTATCTTTCATTCCCCATGCCAAAATCTCATCTACTGCTCATAGATGTGTCTCTGACCTCGCCAGCAGATCCACCAACTCACAAACCCTAGCATCATCCCTCCCCACCACCTCCAAAATCCTCTGAATTTCCTCCTCCGTAAACATCAACCGCATATTCCTCACAAACTTCCTCCTAACCTCCTCCCCCGTCCTCGGATTCCTCACATGCCCAACCGGAAACTCCACCAACACCTCCTCCAACACCCGCCCATCCTTCAACCTCACCACCACCCCAGCAGCAATACTCCTCTTCCCAACATCCAAATAATCCCTCGTCAGCTCCTCATCCTCCTTCACCACAATCCTCCCCCTCAACTCCTCCACCCTCTCATCCCCCACCCAGCCCCCCTCATCCTCATAATCCTCCACCTCAATCGCCCTCCCCTTGACCATCGCAACCGCAACAACCCACTCCAAACAATGATCCCTCTCCGCCGCACACTTCAATTCCTCCCTCCCCGGCCTAGAAATAATATACTTCGCCGCCCAAGGTACCCTCACCAGCACCTCCTCCACATTCTCCCACACCACCCCCGGCTCTTTCTCCATCTGTCCCAAAACCGCCTCCACAGCCGCACACCCATGTCCCTCCACCGGCATAATCTTATACATCACCCCTTCCACCCCCCTCCCTTCCATTTCCCCAAGCTTACCTACAAACTCAAACTCCCTCCCCCCAAACCTTCCATCCCTGAACCCGCCCCCCTTATGCCTCAATACACTCCCCACACCCCTCATCGCCTCCTCACTCCCCTCCCTATCCGCCCTGAACACCAACGCAACCGCCCTCGCCGCCGCATCAGCAGCCGCCCATCCCTTGCGAGGCACAGTGCACGGATGCGTTCGATACAAGCGACTCGGGCCCGCATCCATCCACACATGGGATAGAATACTCTGTGTTTTAGACGCAGAATGACCCATCATCCACGAGCAGACAGCCGCCGAGGCCAACTCGACAAGAATAACGTGGTCGAGGTTGTGTGCGTGGAAGGCGTTGAGCGCTTGGTAGTGTGTTTGGATCTCGTAGGATTTGGTTATTGCCGAGAGCAGGGTGGAGATTGTTGTTGGATTCGCTTTGATATTGACATATCTGGGGTGGCGGCTTAAATAGTCGGATGTCGCGAGGAGGGCGGCGATGTTATCTGTTCATTTAGTTTATACCGTAGTATTCAAGGAATTGGTGGTGAGGAATGAAGAGGTTAGGGAAGTTACCTAACCTACCAGAAGGATGTCCCCATTCCATCCCCCAGCTTGCATCGTTGTGGTCCAGGTATCGGATTAGGACCCCTAGGTCGAAGGTACCCTTTACTGGGTCTATGGTGTGAGAGGTACCCGGGACGGGGAATCCGTGGGGGACGGTGGTGCCGGGGATGATGGGGCCGAGGAGGGCTCGTGCGGAGGGGGACTTTGAGGCGGTTTCGATGGCGCAGGAGAGGGCGTCGAGGAGGGCGGTTCGGGCTGCCGTGTGGTGGGTGGTGGTGGTGGTGGTGGTGGTGTTGGTTGGAGAGTGGGTGTAGGTTGTTATGTCGCGGAGGGGGAGGTCGTATATTGGTTCTTGCGGTGGTTTAGGTTCATTCATTTTGGATGGTGGGTACATGTTGAATCACTAAGTTACTGAGGGATGGGGATGAGTTAGTGTGCTGGGGAAGGTATAGTATATATCCTACTGTATGACTATCCAAACGTGCTAACACTATGCTAAAGTCGTACATGTCCAACATATCGCTAGTAGAAAATAGTCAAACCGAAATCATCCAAAGGGCCAAGCAAGTGTGCTACTATACTAAAAACCACCCGCTCCTCTGACTCTCTGCACCGCTCCTACTGCTCCCCGTGCCCAGCTAAAGTGTCCCGGGTCAACGCCAATCGATCCCACAGGGAGATCATTGGTCATTGGATCATGCCAGCAGCCGTCTTCTGGGCTGACGCCGCCGTAGTACGCCGTGTTCTGGTTCCGGTCGATGGCTTCACGCCAGGCGCGGCAGACGAATGGCGAATCCAGCAGAAGGTTTACCTCCTGGCTGTGGTAGAAGGATTGGGTGTCGAGGTTTCCATTACCTGCGTAGTTGTCAGAGTTCACATCACTTTAGGATCTAATATCGTGTTATAGAGTTGGGGATAGGATACCTTGAATAGCAACCTTCTCATCCACAATCATTAACTTAATATGACAACTCCTCCGCTTAAACTTATTATGAATCGGCCGGACTTGATCCTTCGCCACATAGTTAAAAATCCGCAGACGGAATCGCTGCTCGTCCGTATCCAGCGCCTTGTACATTCGGTGCGCAACCATCTCGTTCGTCCCGTTCTGGAATGGCAGTAATTCGCCGGCGTCGTTGTACCCCAGACACAAGTAGCATGTGACGGTGACGTCGCGGGTCTTGACGGCCTCAATCAGAGCCTGGACGATGGGCTCGGCGTTCATGTTGGGGGTTTGAATGAAGATAGATTCTTGCGCGTTGTTGATTGCTGCGAGAAAGCTGCTGTTTTGTGGCGTGTGGATGCTGCTGTGGTTAGGGGCGCCCCAGGGTTCCCGGTTGATGACGGCCATGGGGAAGGGATCGTGTGGTGGGAGGACGATGTAGGGCTGCATGATGAGTTCTTGGTCGCTTTCGGGGGCGTCGGCCGACATGTCAGATTGAATTGTGGTATCTATTTCATTAGAGATCAGTTTCTGGCCCTGCATGGATCTGTAGCGCTAGTGGTTGCGATGCATGCATACTTAAGCGACGAGTCACAGCTTGCGTTCTGGTCTCTCCCTCCCGTGGTAACAGCAAACCGTTCATGCGCTGGGCCTCAGCCCGAATATCCGGGTCATAGTGATGTTCGTCGACAGTAAGTTCTGGGAGAGGCCCCGGGTCTGGAGCATCATAGTCTGGCTGCTGCGAGGCGTGACAAGGAATAGGAGCCCCCGTGGCGGGCGAGTCCAGCATGGGCAGTGAGGGTTCGAGAGAACGACCCCACGAAATCAACGCCGTATCATACAACCCATCCACAATGGGTCCCTCGACATGAATCATCATCTCCAGGTTGTCGTTATCCTGCACATTACTGCTCTGCAGCAGTCCAATTCGCCGATCAATTACCATGAACTTGGCGTGAAAGGTTCCGAAGATAGGTCGGTGGTAATTGACAACCTGCAGATCGATGTTGGGGATCTCATGAGCCGCAGGAAGCTGCACCTTTTCGCTGGTATATTTCTTCTCTGGCACTGGGAGGTGGTTCTCGAACAGCTGCTGCGGATCCCCGCGATCATAGACCATCTTGACAATTACTTTCGTTCCACGTTCGCCGGCTCGTCGGGATAGCTCTCGGAACGCATTGGTTACCAATGTGGAAGCATCTGAGTGAATCCAGAAATTCGTCGCCAGGAACACTTCCTTCTCAGCTCGTACAATGCAATTGGCCATGTGGCGACAGAGATCAGGCAAGGGGGCGATAATAGTCAGAGGGACTACGCCGTGGCTGCCCATCAGTGGCGGGGAGACTACCCCGGACATGGGATTCTTTTCTAATGCGCAAAGCGCATCGTGGTAGATCTGATTCCTGTCAGGTATGTCTCTCCAAGGAAGAACGTGATAGTATTGGCTGGTTAATTACCTTCAAGAAAAGGTCGCTGGGTTGAGTGCTGCCCCAGTTTCCACACTGCAGAACCTTTCGCAGTTCATGATCGTCCTGGTCGACCGACTCGTTCGAGTCCGATTTGTGTGACTTTGACTTCCGATCATGATACAACTTCTGGAATAGCTTAGTGGGCGATTGCGATGGATCCTGCAAAAGCTCTGAAGTGACGGTCTTCTCGTCATGACAGAGCTCATACACAGTGTCGGAGAGCATGGTGGTTCGCACTTGATTGGCACTTTTGGGCTGACGAAGAAACCAGAAAATAAACGAAGCCAAACTTAGAGAATACACGGCGCTGACGAGTTTAAAAAGGGGTATCCAAGTGGATTCGCTGGCGGGACCCCAGGCGACTGGCGCGACCATGGCTATTAATATTAATAGTAATATGAAAGGATGGCTGCCTGTCTACGAGATGACGTATTCGGGGGGCTATCTACCGGTCAGCATTCAGATGCTGGATGGCCATGGGATAATATAACAATTAATTGGGGCCAATGCTGCAAATGATGTGGTGAGCGCATCCCTTGAAAACCGCAAGCAATTGGCGAGGGACGCGGCCACGACGTCATGCGGGCTGACGATAACCAGTGATAATCAATTGAGAAACTGGCCGATGAGCAGTGGAACTGTTCTAGTAAGATTAATCGGTGGATGGATCCACCAACTACCAGCTTGGCTCTGAAACAAGCTCCTGTCGGAGAGAACTGGGCAGAATAGGGCTGATCGAGTACTCGTGATACTGGACATTTTTGAGCCCAATATTGTTGTTGCTGCTGATCGGCTTCCGGTACATAGTGGAAAGATGAGCACCTCCACACTGAATTCCCAGTTCCGCACCATGATTGCACCTTGCAGCTCAAGTATGGGTTCCACCTCCTCGTGCCAACCTTATTGACGAACTACTTACCCCATTGGGTGATTACTCAGTGAAAGCCGTTAACCTCGGTGTTAAACTGCAGTTTCTCCTCACCAGTTCGGACTTGCCCCCGAGCCTGTCCTTTATTAAGCCGGCTTTATCAATCTATCCCCGACTTCTTGTATCCCTATTCCTTTACTCCGCATTGCTCTCGGTCAACTCCAGTCTATTTCAATTGCGCACCCATAGATTATCGTTGTTGACTGATTGCGACCATGTGAGTCACTACAATTTCTCAATTGGCTTCTCTTGTTTGTTTCAAATTCTCTGACAGTCTTCAGGATCTACACAGCATCCTTTGCCTTCTTCGAGGCACTATGGGAGGTACTGTCCCCATCCACAATAGAATGCCGGTCAAGCTAACCTTCCAGGCTGGGGTCTCCCATGTCTTTGTCAATCTTGGCTCTGACCACCCCTCTATCCTCGAGGCTATGGTCAAGGGCCAGAAAGAAAAGCCTGATGCCTTCCCCAAGATCATAACCTGTCCCAACGAGGTGAGTCAATGAATGCAATCTCGTTGTGGATCTCGACCGGACACACTAACCCCGCATGCCTCCTTGGCAGATGGTGGCCCTGTCTATGGCCGACGGCTATGCCCGCTTGACGGGGGAACCTCAATGCGTAATTGTCCATGTCGATGTTGGTACCCAGGGGCTCGCTGCTGCTATCCACAACGCATCTTGTGGCCGAGCCCCCGTCTTGATCTTCGCCGGTCTCTCCCCGTATACTATTGAAGGGGAAATGCGTGGCTCGCGCACAGAATATATTCACTGGATCCAGGATGTTCCGGACCAGAAGCAGATCGTCTCACAATACTGCCGGTATGCCGCGGAAATCCGATCTGGTAAAAACATCAAGCAGATGGTCAACCGCGCTCTTCAATTCGCTACGAGTGATCCCAAGGGACCTGTCTATCTGGCCGGTGCACGAGAGGTCATGGAGGAGGAAATTACCCCTTACTCTCTCAATCAGAGTCACTGGGCGCCTGTCTCCCCATCTGCTCTCCCAACCGAAGGTGTCGAGTTGATTGCATCAGAGCTCGCAGCTGCGAAGAACCCCCTGGTCATTGTCGGTTACTCTGGCCGGGAAGCGCGAGGTGTCCACGAGTTGGTCACTCTCGCCAACACCTTCCAGGGCATCCGCGTCCTCGACACTGGCGGCTGTGATATGTGCTTCCCTGGCGACCATCCTGCGTGGCTAGGCATGCGTTTTGGTGTTCATGATTCCATCAAGTCTGCCGACTTCATCCTCGTTGCCGACTGTGACGTACCTTGGATCCCGACGCTGTGCAAGCCCTCCGACTCTGCCCGCATCATTCATGTTGATGTAGACCCGCTTAAGCAGCAGATCCCTGTTGCCTATATTCCCACGATAGCGACTTTCCGCGCCGAATCGGCAACTGCTTTCAAGCAGCTCAACGAATACGTTGCCTCCAACTCCTCCATTCAGCAGACAGTCCAATCGGGTGAGAACCGTGCTCGTGGCCAGCGCCGCGCAGAGGTGTTCCAGAAAACCCGCCAAGCTATCTACAACCTCGCCCGCTTACCTCCCGGCGGAGATGTCGCTCCCCTCAATGCCAACTATCTCGTCAGCCAACTACGCCAGTCCTGTCCATCGGATACCATCTGGGCCATCGAATCCGTAACTCTCACTACCCACGTGGCCGACCAGATCGCCCCTACCCTGCCGAAATCCTGGATCAACTGCGGCGGTGGTGGACTCGGGTGGTCCGGCGGCGGTGCCCTGGGCATCAAGCTCGCCACCGACGCCAAACACGGCGGGACAAACAAGGGCAAATTTGTCTGCCAGATCGTCGGCGATGGCACCTATCTCTTCTCTGTTCCGGGGTCTGTTTACTGGGTTGCGCGTCGCTACAACATTCCCATCCTTACGATTGTGCTCAACAACAAGGGTTGGAATGCCCCTCGGCGCAGTATGCTCCTCGTCCATCCGAACGGCGATGGATCCCGCGCTACGAACGAAGACCTCAACATCTCTTTCGCCCCGACTCCAGACTATCCGGGTATTGCAACAGCTGCATCTGGTGGTACTTTCTGGGGTGCCCAGGCTGCTAATGTTGCCCAGCTGAGGAAGCTGTTACCTGAGGCTATCAAGAGTGTGCAGAATGGTACCACGGCGGTCTTGGAGGCGCAACTTGATGGGACGAAGGGCAAATACGTGGCTGCGAAGCCTTCGCTGTGATTTTACCCTTTAACATATCATTACGCTTGTGACGTCTATATGAGTATTATGATACATAATACAGTCTTTTGCAATTGCAAAAGTCTGATGCCGCCTCCGATCAAGACCAGACAGTACAATGAATAACCGAATACACATGGGACATTCACCAGATGAGTAGGACTACTCGTAGCATCCAGTAGACTGGCGGTGGCTTTGCTCCATAGTCAGAACCCCCAATGAAATATCACCTCGGAGAAATACCTTACTCCACCTCTGTTTATAACACACAACGCGACCAAATATCCCTTCTGATTGGATCAGACCGCCCAACGGGAACTCACTCTCCGTTCCCGGGACTTGACTTCCAGCGCTAGGACTTCAATCCTCGGAGATCTGCGAAGCCTCGGGTTTCTGTCCGGGAGATGCACCCCGCGCAGTTTACCGATTTATTCTTATAGACATAGCAGTTGTGTTCCACACCCCACTCCTTAATCCTGGATAGATCTCAATGATGAATAAGGATGCTCGAGGCGGTAAATTAATGAATTATTTAGCTTTCTATAATTGGAAATAACAGAACATATGGAGCTACATAATACTGTTTGTTATCTGAGCAAATTACTAGCATCATAGATTTTCAAAACACGATAAAAATGACTAGTCTAAATACTTCAGGTAGATATAATAGTCCTGTACAGAAATAAAAGATACACAGTATAGAAATATTCCAGTTCTGTTCCAGAATTGGCCTAGCATAATTTTAGGTCAGGGCTGCTGAAACATTCAAAGAGTGTGAGTAATGACACTGTTACAGGACTTCCGGATACTGGTGTCACCAGTTGTACTCTATAATTATTTCAGCAACCCTGTGATGAAATATAACGTAGTTAACTACAACAGCTTAATAAGCGTAAATTCACTGCCAAGCTTCAATGCCTCTCCCTGCATGAATCCGTGGATATAAGCCCCCCCGATAACCTGGTACGCATCTCGCTGATCCGCTTCTCGCAGAACAAGCGGGACCCGGGATCCAGCTATAATCCATATTGAGTCTCGTTCTCTTATGGATGTTGTAGCGAGGCCTAGGTAATTAGAATCTGTCCGTAAAAGCCTTGTTTGAGATGAGTAGTTTAAATGGACTTCATAAGCATCACCGTTAGGCACATCGCTTGTTCCAGTATGCGCGGGACAGATGTTACTAATTTTTCTCGGTCCATTGCCTTGTTCACCAGCAGCATACGGGAAGAGGCCTGTCTCATCAGAGTCACCTAGTTGATAGAGTTGGTCCAAGAAATCTGTCTTCTCCGCAGACAGTGGCTTGTCAGTCCATTCCGAAACGATCCGAAGAATCCAGTCGGAAAATGCACAACCAAACTCATCTGGCGCTGGGTGGTGTGCTGGCTGAGGAATACGGGCAGCTGTATCTGTTATTAACGTTCTCCAGAATACTTCGGCTTTTGGTTGACCCGTGTGATACTTCAGAGGGAGGGCTAACAGTATAGCGATCCAACCAGGAAAATATGCAAGACCTTTATGATTAGTCGCCTCATCCTTGGATTCTCCAACTTGCGCGACCCGGTCGAGCCACACACCGCGGACAATTAGGTATCTCTCAGCCTCGTGAATTCGAAGATACCTTTTCAGAGCCCCTGCAGCGGCAAATCTTGATTAACCAGTCATTCCAAGACCCAGGCCTCTCTGGCATGACCAGTCCGGTACCCAGGATGGGAGGTCCTTGATATTTCGGAAGTCTTTGCCCTCTGCGTGGGCGAGAAGCAACAAATCTTCCGTGTCCTCTAATACATATATCGCTGTGGATATATAGACATTGCTGACAGGGCGATCCTTATAAACAGGCTTAAGACGGGTTTCTCCTTGTGTTCGACCTCCTAGAAGACCGAGTAAGGCATATACCTTGTCCCTGGGGTCCAGGCAATGAAATCGTCGCGACTTGATAAGGATGTGCAGTAGGGAACTTCGTTTCTCTGACAAAACCATTTTGCGATTCGAATTAAGATATAGTGGCAGAGAGTGGCTTGCTTCTCTGCCGTCTTTTCGGATGCTGGACTTCATGTATGACACCCATTTCCACGGCGGGAGCGTCAAATACCGTGATACCTGAACGATATGATCCCAGTCTACAGTGTGTCCACCACACATAATAATAACCCTCTTTGCCAGAGCAATTTCTTGAATAACCCATGCCCGCGTGAAGTACGTACGTTTCCAAAACTCCTCCAGTGAAATCCATTCCGGAGCCTCTAAAAATCGGCCGCAAACATCAACAGAGTCCTCAGACGCTGTATTGTTTGTAGTCGCGTCTTCCGAAACTGTTGCTATCCCTATAGCTCTGATAAGCCAAAAGGCGTCCTTAGTATGTGCGTCTTGCTCGCCAAGCCAGGAAATGACCATGTCCGCAGAGCGGTAGATTGATGCCATAAAACCGACCTGGCTAGCCCTCTCGAGTTCGTCTTCCTGATTTATGCACACTGCATCAACCCAGAAACTTCTTGTATACAGTTTACGAACGTCGCGCACCCTAGTGAAGAAATCGTGAAGGTTTTTAGTGATGTAGATAAAGTCTCCGTTGCACTTGACATGACGGTCGGGAACGCTGGTAGCACCTTTGACGAATGCTTCGGGTGTCGGGGCACCCCATGTGTATGAGAGGGCAATATAGCTGGGGTGGTCTTTAAGACAGATGTTGAAGACATCACAGCAAATTTCTCCATCTCCATCCGTCTTGGGGTAGATCTTTAAGAGTCTTATCTCGCCTTCTTCCGTCAGCCTTGAGTAGTTATAGCGTCGATTATAAAGAGCCTGCATTGCAAGCACCCGTCGATACAAGTCCCAGTGATGTAATCGCCAGAGCAATCAGAATTTAGTATTCAGTAATAATGACCTTCTGCTGCGTTTAGTTGCTGGTAGGAAGGCAAAGAAGGCGACACCTTGAGAATTCGACCAGCTGGGTCAAGCGCGCTTCAATCAAGTGCGGCGCAGTAACGTTGGAGGCGGAGCGGGGTTTCAAACCATTGCCATATGACTAGTTGCTACTGTTTATTTGTCGCCTGGTACTCTTTGGCTGGGTGTGATTCGCTGACGTGGCGGGCCGGATGCATGATTATCTTCCTCCATCCTCGGCTATTTCCAGACTGTAGAAATGGCTCAGTATCTCTCTATCACTTTGCTGAAATGGCTATGCTAAAATTGATTATGGACAGCTGTGTTGAAGCCGCTCAATACTTCATCATATTGACACTATCTGACAAGTATTGCTAGCATGGAAAAGAGGGTGATAAACATAGAAAAGATATATATAATACAGATGCGGGTCCTGGTCGGGTAGATGGTTATATAGAAGAGGCTTGATTGACCTGCTCGATGCAAGCGAGAATTATATAACTTTATAACCACATGTTTCTATCAAACGGTGGGTACGACAACCGGAATACCATATTCCACATATGATAGGCTAAACTACGCCTGATAATGAGGGAGCAACCTGATAAAGTTTCAAAGACAGCAGTATGTGTCGAGCCTCTGAAAACAAGAGATTATGCTACGGTAACTGTGCATAGGCAGGGCACACTCCGAACCCAGTAGGACTTATATGTTAAAACTGGTGTTACATACAGTGGTAATCACCCATCCTACTGATCCCTACGCACTCGGACATGGCCACTGTGACAGATTTGATTGACAAGTAGCTAGCCTTATATAGCCAAGAGGCATTAGGTATCTCGACTTCACAGCCCTAAGATATTTTGAAGGTATGTATTCTCCTTACCTATCCCTTATCTCTCTGAAAAAAGCGGGCCTGAGAGGGGTGAGCCTTTCTGGCCTTAGTTATATATAGTGAGATTTGTTCTGCGATCTCCAGAATACTCCCTAATTGCTGCTAAATTGCTACTTATCTTTATCTAGATAGTTACGTGTCCATGGACAAGTCAATGATCTTCAATTTACATAATACCGGTCTATACAGTATGTTGTCGTGTTACGGGGAGCTATTCTTCATCTAGTGCTGAGCTTGGCTCAGTGTGGTTTTGCCTTGGGCTTCCTGAAACAAACAAAGTGTATGAGTGATGAAATCAGTTTCCGGAAAAAAGCAAGTAGATTCACCTCATTGAAAGTAACATAACAAATTGTGTAACAATCTCGGTTAGTGAAAAAAAGCATGCAGTACAATATCCATTTTGTGTTTCCCACCAGGTTCAGGTCAAAGCAATATCCCCGTTAAGCAAATAAACGCCTTTCAATATTGATCGTTTCCCAGTTGCAGTGAGTTCATTAAACAACATCACAATCCTTGAACTTGCTGAGCTTGAACAACCTTCTTGCGTTGTCCCTGCCAACACGAAGATATCCGTCCCGGCCACCCAGTGCCTCCTTGATCTTCTCCTCCTCATCATCGTACCACTGGCAGCCATGCTCCATTCGCTCGTAAGGGAAGTCAACGCTGAACATCATTCGCTCATCGCCGAGCCACTCGTACAGGTAGCGCAGATTCTGGGTGCTGAAATTTCCACTGGTGGTGATGTAGATGTTGCGCCTGAAGTAGTAGAGGGGTTCCTTCTGGCAAACAGTATCTCCGTTCTTCTCTGCCAGCGGCCGTGTCACACCCTTGACCCAGTGGTCCATCCGCCAGAAATCAAATGGGATGCGTTCGCCCATGTGCCCGATGATCATCTTCAAGTTGGGGAACCTATCGAACACGCCGTTGACGATGATTCCCATCAGGTGCAATGCAACTCCGTTGCAGTAGCTCTGGGGTGGTCCGATGAGATACTTGCGGTCCTCGTAGGTCTGCTTATAGAGTTGGGTATCCCGCAAGGGTGCGGCAGGATGGAGGTAGACTGGGACGTCCAACTCCACAGCCACTCTCCAGAACTCATCGTAGTCGGGCTGATCGTAAAACAGAGGTTGCTCATCGTCTCCTTCCCCGGTATGTTGAACATCATTCAACAAGGCTCCGTGAAAGCCTAGCTCCTTCACGCAGCGGCGAAGTTCATGTCCCGCCTGTCGGGGATCATGCATTGACAGATTTGCGAATGCTCCCAATCTGTCACGGTGGTCCTTGATCTGGTCATGAATGTAGTTGTTTACATCGCGGGCCCTTTTCTCGGCCTTGTCCTTTTCGGTGATGCCCTGGATACCCGGGACGGTCAGGGAGAGGATGGTGTATCCAATGCCGTTCTGGTCGGACAGCTGCAAGCGTTCGTCCGTGATAGACACGATTTGACGCTTGTAGCGTTCAACATCTTTGGGGGCGATGTAGAGGGCTGCCTGGGCATCGATCTCCTCATCCATGCCCTTCACCTCAAAGGCTTCTTCGAGAGCGACTTTTCCACGCATATTGAATTATTAGGTTTGGTAACTTGTTCAAGTTTTCTAGTGCGATGCAATAGATATGTCTCAAAGTCAAAAGAGATTAAGTTATTAGGTATAGAGTAGATGATGCTCTTTGATTGAGATGATCCTCTGTCCGACTGGTTGAGTCTTTGAGGGGGTTTATATACTAGCTGCATCGCGGCTCAACCCATGGTAAATATCCATATGATGTTCGGTGACAGAAGGTTCCCCGCAAACATTCCCCTCCGTAGCATTGGGTTCGAGATGGCCGGCACTCACCTTGATTGCGGTGGTGGAGAGGGGTTTCAGAGGAGTATTGATTCCAGATGCCAATTTGACTTTCGGGTAACTGTTCCAAGGCCTCAACGCCTATAACATTGAATGTTGTCTGGAGTCGGTCTCAGTTGAGAGTTATGTATAGCAAATGTCATGAGGGGGCTTCCTGTCATACTTATTTCATCCGAGTTCATCGCTGACGAGACATTGATCTAGACCTGGGTGTGGCGGCTGTGGCCTCACCCGGCTAGAGTCGGATGATGGGAAGTGGCTTGTGATGGCTTCAGGGAGGGGAATACAACAAGAGATCTTGATGATCTCAGCGTGATCATGGTACATCCTCTTCTGTATTGGAATTGGCCAAGGGATAGTAGCTGGCGTTGTCCCCAGCTGGGAAAATTGGAGCAGAGTTAGTCCCCAAAATTAGAATGGCAATAGCCCATGATACGTCACTTCGAAGAGCTAGATCATTCTTTCCAGGTAGAGCTGTAACGACTGTTGTAAAATGCTCTGATGTATAGCCTGAAGATTATGTTGAAGGTAGTCATGAGAGTTACCTCGAGCCAGCTTGAGCCAGCTCCAGGATTCGTCACCTACCGAGTATCCCACGCTGAGAGGAATATGGGGATTGTGGTGGTAGAGCTCCTCCTGACGCAACTGTCGAGGCTCGTATATTAACAAGCTAAATACGGAATTCTGTTATCGTGTAATCGGAGGACATACGTTGCTCAGTAAACCTTCGGGGTGGTATGTGGGTGGTCCGATGGAGAGAGAGCTACACAAACCCGCGTCCTGTTTGCATCAGATTGTGTACATTCGAGGGACTTCTGTTTAAGCTCAGGAGACATTGAGAATGAAAGGAACATCGGCAGAGTAATAGTGTGTTCCTGTAATTCTTCATTGGTGGTGAGCACAGACTCATGCTTTTCTCCTGCCAAAACCACATAAAAGAGGGGTAGACCCAACAAATGCAGGCTTACCACGTGAATCACCTCCTCTGAACTTTACCAGACATGGCTGTCACACCCAGTAATAGGAGTTGGGGCTCCATCTCTTCAGGTCAGACGTGTACACGGGTTAGTCACTAACTCGTGGGTAGGCAGTAGTAGAAGTCGTGATAGTTCGTTTCCATTGCCTATTCGGGGACAAGACCAAGATCTTATCGGGTTGATAAGCAAGTCCGATGCCGGCGATAGCCTTATCTAGGCGCGGGGTTGTCACCCGAGCGGTAATCTAATTTCCATGCATTCTTGCTGTTTGTCTGGCAGCAACAGTTGTTGGTCCTTGCTTCAGCTCGAGCTTTCCCCTCATTCTCTTCAGGCCAAGTCGGATCACAATAACGATTACTCGATGTTCCACCAAGCTATCTGGTACTGACCAATGGCTCTTTGCTTGAGAAGCAGTTAGAATGAAGTTGCCTTTAGTACCTTTGCAGGCCCAACCATACGGAGACTGTATCGGGGATACGAATTACGTTATCGCCGCCCGCCGCGCCCTGTGAACGACAGCGTCACATCGCATCAGTTTGCGGCATCCTACAGCGAAATTAGATAACGAAAACGCGGTGAAGCTCCTCCATGGCATCTGATTGCTTCTGCCTTCCTTTCATCAGCAATGGCGCCCCTTTTTTGCGTGCCTCGTGGATGAATCCGGTCCCCATCGACCCAATGATGCATTACCGGCGGAACCGGTCCGCCCACTTAAGCGGAGAAAAAAGCGGACGCCCCTGCGTGACTCGATTCTCCCTCTCAGTTTCGCCATCAGTTCGCCTGCATTGTGAATTTCTTTCTCAATCGTCTACCTTGCTACACTGACTTTCGTGTGGACTGTGTGCATACCCTCATTGCCTTTCATATTCACCCAAGTTCACTACGTGCAATCAGACCCCTGTCTCAAGAATGAGCCCTCCCGTCGCTGTGGACAATGACTCAAACAACGTGGGCTCGGTTGCCGCAACCGGCCCATTGACGGTCGATGCCATCCCTGCCCTGAGAGCCAAGAGCGCAAAGGTTCCCACCGGTGTTGCTCCTGCTACGAACAGTGACATGTTCAAGAGCCCTGTATGTTATTTTTTTGCCTCCATCAACCCAGCTATACTCTGTGGCGAAAGACCGACTGACCCTTACTGTTCTCTCGTCCAGCACTGCTTCACCAAGCCTCAATCGAAACGCTGGGATCGTAAGTCGTCCGATTGCCTCTGTGTCGGCCAATCACTAATTCCTCGCAAGATATTTTCTCCGTCGAATCCAAGTCCCGGAAGGTTCGTCCGTTTATACACGTCGTTGCGGTATACATCGATACTGAAGCTTTTTGTTAGAGTTCAACCTTGAAGGGTGCTGCGCGGTACCTGAAGAACCCCGGATTGATCTCTCTGGGTGGCGGCCTTCCCTCTCCGGAATATTTTCCCATTGAGCAGCTCTCCGTCAAGGTTCCCAACGCCCCTGATTTCTCCCCGGAGGCCATTCAGAATTCCGGTGCTCTTCTGACCGCGAATAAGGGTGACGTGCGCACCGGAAAAAGTCTTTTCGGTTAGCTGCCTCCAGCCCCCGCGCGTTAAGTTGCATACTAATTAAACATATGATTAGACTTGGAGGTTGCCCTTAACTATGGCCAGGCTTCGGGAACTCCCCAGTTGCTTAGGTTCGTGACGGAACACACCGAAGTATGTGGAGGCAATACAACCAAGTTTTGACATGTGTGACATAGACTAATCGCTACTAGCTCATTCACAACCCTCCCTATGCCGATTGGCAATGCTGCTTGACCGCAGGTAGCACGTATGCGTGGGACACGATCCTCCGCATGCTTTGCAACCGCGGGGACTACATCTTGATGGAAGAGTACACTTTTGCGAGTGCCCAGGAGACTGCGCTTCCGCTGGGACTGAAGGTGGCGCCGATCAGAATGGATGGGGAGGGTCTTTTGCCCGAGTCCCTTGATGAGGTTCTGAGTAACTGGGATGAAGCCGCCCGGGGTGGTCCCAAGCCTTACGTGCTGTACACCATCCCCACTGGTCAGAACCCAACGGGTGCTACTCAGTCTGCGGAACGGCGTAAGGCTGTGTACAAGGTCGCCCAGAAGCACGACGTGTACATCGTGGAGGATGAGCCGTACTACTTCTTGCAGATGCAGCCCTACGCTGGTGCTGACAGCGAGCCCGTCCCGCCCCCTGCGACCCACGAAGACTTCCTTAAGTCCCTTGTGCCATCCTACCTGAGCCTCGATGTCGACGGACGTGTCCTTCGCATCGAGTCATTCTCCAAGGTCCTTTCTCCTGGATCTCGTGCTGGCTGGATTGTCGCTGCGGATCAGGTTGTGGAACGATTCATCCGGAACTGCGAGACCTCGGCCCAGAACCCTAGCGGTATCTCTCAGTTGATTTTCTACAAGCTTCTCGACGAGCACTGGGGTCACCCTGGATACATTGACTGGCTGATCAACCTGCGCATGCAGTACACTGGCCGCCGTGATACGATGATGCATGCTTGTGAACAGTACCTACCTCGCGAAATTGCTCAGTGGATTCCCCCTGCAGCAGGCATGTTTGTAAGTACTCTATGACTACTAATTCCCTGGTGAGATGATAAGCTAACACACTGATAGCACTGGATCGAGGTCGATTGGAAGAAGCACCCTGGCTTGGCTTCCGGCAAGACTCGTGAGTCCATTGAAGAGGAAGTGTTCCTCGCTGCCATTGATAACGGCGTCCTTGTCTCTCGTGGCAGCTGGTTCAAGGCATCTGGAGTCAACGAGGAGAAGATGTTCTTCCGTGCTACGTTTGCTGCTGCCAGCTCGGAGGGCATCACTGAAGCGATTCGGCGGTTCGGTGATTCTCTGAGAGTCCAGTTCGGTCTGTAGAGAGCAGTTGACTTCTTTTAAGAAGATGTAAATACGAAAGAAGTAGATAACCCCATCCTAATTCTAGCGTGAGATCGGTTATAGAGTAAACAAATTGGTTGTTTATTTTGTCGCAGTATAGTTCCTATTCAAATGAAAGATTATCATGAAGTAAATCTGTATAGAATATGTTTATAAGTAACAGTCTTTTTAAAATCCTTAATTCCATGATTTCCCTTCGTTGCGCAGCTATTATCTATCACATTGGTAGAAACCAAAGACATCGGAACCGCGTGAAAACAATATTCCGCCGGGTGATCCACCCAGCAGCGTGACACTATCCCGAACGAACGCTCTGGAACTTAAATCGGACGTTTGCCCCAAAACCCTCCATCGACTGCCTTAGATCGTCGATATAACTATCTAACGAGAGAGGAGAGACGATGTATCTTGTTTTCTATCATTGATATTATTCCAACCAGCTCTTGATACCCCTTAGACTTTCTTCTCTTTCCGTTTTGCCGTTGCCCTGATCCCGTTACCCCTGCATTGACGAACGACCGGTTTCTTGTTCGTTGCGTTGTGGTAGACCAGCTGGCTTGGTCATAGGATTCTTGGGTGCTTGTTGTAGGTGAGTGGTCTTGGGATTCTTTATAGATAGCAATAGAGAGTTATGCTCTGTGTCTTTTTGGTGGTCGAATTGCTTGCTGGACAGCTGTTCGTCCGATTCCTTGCGTCGGTTTCTTAATGTCACGTGATGGGTATGAGGCGGTTAGGATGCAAGATGCCTAACTAGTCAAGCTGGGTCCTGGGCTCAGTGGCTATTTTGTGTCTGTATCTGAAGCCATTCGTGATCACCGTCTCCATTTTGCTTGGCTCGAATAGTGTGCTCTGTTTTGTAGATACTAGCTGGTGCAGTGCTAACCAGCATGCAGATTATTTCACTTTGAAGATTCCATTTGTTCCAGCATCTGGCATCTGGC